TCCCCTTCCCCCCATGATCGTGTGTCGTCTAGGTGTACAAAACTATGGTGGACGGAGAAAGCTTGTAATGTACTCACATCGCCGTCACCTTGACCTTGGCTTGCGTCCGCTGTTCCTTTGTCTCCTTTCTCTATCAGGGGAATGTTCTCCTGGTCCTTTCCTCCTAGTGTGCAATTGACAGTGACAGGGGCAGAAAAATACAGCGCTCAGTAAATAAAACAGAACATTATTAAACTTTTACAAGAGAAATAAAACCATTAAATCCTCTATTGTCATTTATTGTTCAGATACGTGCAAACACAAGAAAGGCTTTAGAAACAGAACCTTGAATGATATTTGTGTCGATCCTGTGAAGGTGTTGCACTTTTCACTCCTCCAACCCAAACAAAAAATGTATGCAGTCTACAAAAAGCAAAGTGTATATTGATTATATTTTTCAATACATCTTGAAAACAACAGATGTTCATAATAGTATTTAGATTGTAACATTTCTTAAACAGGCAAAAATCAATCTGAAAGCAACTAATTCTCTTCTTCATAACATATCTTTCTACCTATCTATCTATCTATCTATCTATCTATCTATCTATCTATCTATCTATCTATCTATCTATCTATCTATCTATCTATCTATCTGTCTATCTATCTATCTTCTATCTATCTATATATCTATCTATCTATCTATCTCTCCATCTATCTACCTATCTATTTGTCCATTTATCCATCTATCTGTCTCTCTGTCTATCTATCTGATGGTCTAAAGACAAAAATAGAACGTCCATTCTCTTTCATGAGCAATGTTTTTGTGCTATCGCTTCGTATACTTTTCATCCCTCGATAAGAACAAAATCTACTACAAACCAATCTGAGAAACTAAAAACAGCAATAATTATATGAATGAGTAGTCTGTAGACACACAGAAAACATTTCGTACCTTGAAGCAAATGAGTGGCAGTGATTCAAATAACCAAACAAAGTGTGAATTTAATAGCACAAACAAGAATGCTGGCCTGTGCACGAATAATACTTTCCATATTATCCTCTTAAATATTTAGAAAAAATGAGTAAATAAAATGTGCATATCATGCTTAAACTCAAGAAGGGCCAATACCTCCTGGCGTTCAAAACCACGTTTCCTTTCTTTGGGCACAACAGCTTACGCAGGTAAAACACGACGCATAGCGAACTCAATAAGTTGGAGGACTCCCTCTTTGATTAGTTCACAGATGACAAGAGCAGATAAGTTGTTTCGCCTTGGTTCTCCAACCCATGAGCCAATACTCGCTCACGACTTCATTAGAGACTTTGAGATTTCTGCCTCTCTCTCTCTCTCTCTCTCTCTCTCTCTCTCTCTCTCTCTCGCTCTCTCTCTCTCTCTCTCGCTCTCTCTCTATCCATCTATCTGTCTCTCTTTCTCTCTCTCTCTCTTTCTCTCTCTCTCTCTCTCTCTCTCTCTCTCTCTCTCTCTCTCTCTCGCTCGCTCGCTCGCTCTCTCTCCCTCCCTCTTTCACTCTCATGCACTTTAGCTCTCTCTCTTATCTCTCTCCCTCCTTCTTTCTCTCTCTCTCTCTCGCTCTCTATCTCTCTCTCTCTCATACGTCTCCTTCCCTTTTTCTTTCTCTGTCTCTCTCTCCCTCTCTCTCTCTCTCTCTCTCTCTCTCTCTCTCTCTCTCTTTCTCTCTCTCTCTCTCGCTCTCTCTCTTTCTCTCTTTCTCTCTCTCTTTATCCATCTAGCTCTCTCTCCATCTATTTATCCATCTCTTTGCATATAATACATCCAAGCCTACAAGTGTAGTGCAATCGGTTTCCATCAACATTCAGAGTACCTTGATATAATTTGTTACACGTACTTATCTTTTCTGGGTTATTCTACTCATGAACCCGTATAATAGTTGTTGGATTAAGCACACATCAATAGGATAACTGTAGGTGGGAGTTGTAGATGATTTTCCCCCATATAGACACAATCTTTTAGGAGGCGGGCTGCTTCGATCCTGCTTGTCAGAGTCAAACCGGCTGAGAAGGGTACAACGTTCCAGCAGACTGTTGGATATATACTCTATTAAATCCCACCCCAAATGGGAGTCGAACTCACATATTGTGTGCGACGTCAAAGCGCCCAACCGCTACACAACAGCACCAGTCCGCTTTGGGGGTTGGTTATTGGTTTACAGTAACAAAAGGTAAACTGTGTAGACGAACGTGAAAATAAAGTACACAAAAACATCAGCGTCAGCGAAAGTACAAGTTGCAATATTCGTCCTCAGGATACGACCAACCGTACCCTCTCTAATGAGACGTGAAACAAATCGAAACTCACCAGCTACCAACGAGATTGAGTTTCAAATCTGGAGTCAAACTGAAATCGGATTAATGTTATTTTGCTGACGAGAAACTGTGAGAACAACTAGTTATTAATGAAAGCATTGATTTCCTATACTTGGCATTTAACCGTTTGTTTCCCAAACCGTGGGTTGGCGGTTTCTCTACCTCGGAGCCCAAAACTGTATTATCCACAAAAAAGTGATTAGGGCGTAGAGAGTTGACCTCAGTCCATTAGAAAGTGCGTTCCCAGAAAGGTATATACGAAACTGTACTGCTTAATTTATTCTATTGAAGATCATATTTCTGTATGCTGTGTGTAGTGAGGGTATGAGTAAATGTGTGTTTTGTGTGTTTGAGAGAAAAATGTAGAAGGCTTATAAAGATCGTGTGCATGTGGTGTTTGTGTGTGTGTATGTGTGTGTGTGCGCGTGTGTGTGTGTGTATGTGTGTGTGCGTGCGCGCGCGCGTGTGTGTGTGTGTGTGTGTGTGT